GCCGCCGCGGCGGTGAATCAACCGACCCCCACCTATTATCATCCCGCCGCACCCGCGCCACCCCCACCGCCGCCGCCCGCGCAGGATCCCGTCCAACCCGACAGACCCATCGGTTACGGAGCCTTCGGTGTTGTCTGGTAAGTTTCACCGATTTCTACTATTTACAGCGATCTATGATTATTTCTCTTGGAGAAGCACAACCCTAGATGTTCGATGGATTTAACGATTCTCAAAACAAACGACTAATGACGTTAGAAATAAGCAATTATTCTTTTTTTCTTTTTCTTCTAGGCTTATTGAGTTTCTAGCTGAAGAAATCATTTCGTAGAATTGTATCTCTTTTTTCCTTACAGTTCAAATCGCTATTCTTTCTTAACTGATGGTCAAATTTCGCAATATACTAGTATGTAAATGCCGTTGTTGGTTTTATTTTGAATATCTTTCGAAATGTCCAAAGTATTCTTTTGCATTTGCTTTAACCCTTTGACTGCGGCGCGCTATCGTAGTAATCCATTAATATAGACGGCGCGATTTTCGTATGTCAGTCGCTGCGACTGTTTTTCTATTGACAGTTAACCAAAACAGATAATAATGGCAAATATAATAAAAATGTGAATTTTAAAAAATTTTTTTAAAGTAATTTAGTTGCTACGTTACATATCAATAAATTTCATGTAAAATTAATCTGTAAAACAGCAATAAAGATGTGATAGTAAAAAAATACAGAGGACGTATATTTACGCCTTTCGAGTATATTGATGGATTTGTGAGAGCGTATATATATGCCTTTAGCAGTCAAAGGGTTAACTGTTTCTTTTGTGCTCTCGGACCTTTTTGAATCTAATATAAAAAAATTTCTTCTTAGGAGATAAGCTTTGTACATCTTTTCGGAAAATCTTTTTAAATTGATGAAACTTTCATTTTTCCATTCTTCGAGTTGATTTTTTCAACTGCGACAAAGAATTCCAAAAACGTATTTGAAATATATGACTGAAATGATCGATACTTTCAAGATCCTTCCTTTGTATTTATTTTTCTTTTTTTTTTCTCTTCTTTTTTTTCTTCCTTTTTTTCTAACAAAGATTTGATAAAGGTGGAAAAAAACTTTCGAAAGATTAACGGAAAGAGCGGAGAGAAAAATAAAAGAAAGAGACAGATAGAGTAAAACTGATTCGATCGTATCTCGAAGAGCTTTCGGAGGGTTGCTTGTGACGTAGCAGGAGAGACCAGGGTGGAGTTGGAGTAATCGGTGGGAAGGTGGATGAGAAGACGATGGGTGGCTAGGAGAGTACAGGCTACATTGCCATGGCAACCGCGACCTCGCGAGATAAAGAGAAAACGTGACTAGATTGAGCGCCTTCTCTCTTTCACGAGTCGATTATATTTTTCGATAAATGTTTAATAAATCACATTCTATTATCCTACCCATACGTAAACATTCCAAAGTATTTTTCATACTCATTTAGATAACAATTCTATGAAAATTAGAATTTTATTATCGATTTACATTCTTAATCTCCTACTATTGAATAAATATAAGTTTAATATTCTGCTGGTTGCTCACATAACTTTCCAAATCATTTGTAAATTTATTAATCCTCAAAATGACACAGTATGAAACGAACAAAAAAAATATTCTAATGCAAGAGAATAAATGTGCATGCATATAAAATCCTTGAAACATTTTAGAACGTTAGAATTGAAAAGAAAAAAAGAAATAGATTTTCGCACTAATTTTATAGCTTGAAAATGAAATTTGGCGCGTTTTAACGAATAGGTACGTATCTAGCCGATTGTAGCCGAAGTTACGCGTCGATACGTGTAGAGAACAAAGAGTCGCCGCTTAGCCGTCCTCGTCCTCGTCCCCACTTTTATCTCCTGGTCGCATTCGCGCGGCACACGTGCACGCGTGCGCGTGCATAAAGCGTGCACGAGTTGGTCCTTTGTCGGAGACATCTGCGTGGGCGGATGCCATTGACATCAAGGAGAGAATATAACTTCAAGAACAAACCAAATAGAGCTCGGATTGTTCAATCTTTTTTTTTTTTAGCAAACAACGAAATAAATAAAATCTATTCTTATTCTTTTATGCACTTTTGATAAACAATTTTTTTTTCATTTTTAGTATTCTTTAATTAGCACATGATATTCGAAATAATATGTTAATCATTGATATTCATTTTATTGCAATTATTTAAATATTTGAGGTGTTCCGATCATTGATGATCGACGTGGCAGTAAACGTGTCAATTATCAAAATAAAGGATAAGTTTATTATCGAGAAAGACATAATTATTATCGAGAAACGTTTCAAAGTTTTATCTTAACGATTCGTTGAATGATAATGATAAGGCTACCGTTTCGTTCTTTGTCTCTTTCTTCTTCTATCTCGCTTACTCTTATGTTGCACGTGCTGTGCATGGCTTGTGTCGTTTATACATACATACATGTATACATAGATAGACAGATAGATAGATAGATAAATAGATAGATAGATAGATAGATAGATGCATGCATGCATGCATGCATACGTGCATATGCAAGCTATGCACGGTTTCTGAGTGCAAGGTCCTAGCATTGACTCCAAACAAGCCGCCGGTGTAAATTTCACAAGCATCTAAGTGCAATCTCTCTTTCTCTCTTTCTTAGTATTCACTTCCGTATTTCCGTCTTTTGATTCAAGCATAGATCTGAGGTAAAACGTGGAAAGAAAATGAAATTGTTAAAAGTTACAATATTCTCTCGTACGTGTCCACAATTTATTTGTTGTTTTGCAATTTTCTTGTAGAATTTTCATGGATGCGATTATCTTGTGAAATATTACATAATTATTTTATGAATTAATATATAAAAAACCTTCAATTATTTAATATTAAATTTTCCTCCTGCAAATAGATAAAAGTGGATTTACAATCACTTTCTGCTGAAGTCCCAATTGTATCAGGGATAAATAATAGTAACTTCTTTGCGCTCGATGTTGCGCGCGCGCGCGCACACACACACACGTATACGGGTATAAATACTTAATACAGGTACTTTCTAGATCTAGATGGAAGTCCGAATTTGAGGAGGCAAGTCGAACACCACCCAGTTGAATCGAGCCGGATTCGAAGTGGTTGTTGGCTGTCTGGTTGATAGTACCAATGTGGCTGGTCAAACCAGCTGCCTGGCAGGTGATGCAGCAGCTGCTGCGGAGCATGTACTTGGTAGCAGTCTATATACTTTTCTTCTTTCTTTCACACATGACCGTCGCCTTGTATCAACTCCCTTTCTCCCCCACCCCATCCTCCTCCTCCTCCTCCTCCTCCTCTCCGACCAATAGTCGGGAGAATTATCATTCGGTGGCAATCTTCGAAAACCATGCGAAATTTCTAACAGAACAATGAGAAGGGAGGTTCGATGATACTCCAGGGGACATTTGCCGACAACCTTTCTATTTTTCTATTTTATTTTTAGAGTATACAGTACGTGCAACCTCGTTTGGTACAATAAAAATTGTATGTTTTTCAATCAATATCATCGATTTTATTGCATTTAATATTTAAATATTAAATACTGTTCGTGAATTTATCTTTTCTTATATCTCCAATAATAATAATAATAATAATAATAATAATAATAATAATATTAATTATTATTATTATTATTATTATTATTATTATTATTATTGTTAATTATAATTAAAGTATATAAAACATCGTTGCAGACCATTTCAAATCGATATCAACGATCGTTGATCACGTACTTATATTTTAATGAGAAAAATATCAATATTTGACGTAGAAATGAATTTCAATTAAATGAAAACGATATTATAAGCTTGGTAATTAACGCGATAAATTTATTTTTCTAATACATTTTTATAATGTATGCTATATTTAATGTAATCGAAAGTTAATGATAATAGTAATCAAATAATACTTTAGAATAGTTCATTTAACGATTAGGCTGATAATTATTTGACTGTCGTCAAGATTACAATAAATGGCTTGAGAATACAAGTATAGTTTGTATATATAAATAGGAATGTGTGTGTGTGTAGGTATAGTTACTTGGAAGTTAAAAAGAGTTGCTTATGCTCCATATACCTATACGCGCTCGCCTTCATCCTACTAAACTGGATACTACAGCTGGTTGAAAGCAATATCTCTCGCGACGATCTCTTCTGTAAATCGAAACTGGAAACTCGCTTGGAAAACCTGTCCCCGTTCGTCTCGACAACTCGCTATCTTCTCTTCTTCTTTTTTTTTTTATTCTTATAACATAAAAAGAACAAGATAAATTATATATATATATATATATATATATATATATATATACTATATATAATACATGTTATACGGTCAATCTATGTTCAGAAGATTTTGGTCAATCTAAAAAATATGCTTTTCAATTGACTGTGTTTAGGTCACGTACCATAGAAATTGAAAAATGTATACAACAGATAACATGTTTTGGTTCATTTTTAAAATTTGCATCAGCAGGGGGGTGTGTTTTAAAGCACTGAGAGGGAGGGAAGACAAAAATATTTTAAAAGCTTCATATAAGTAAAACAAACCTACGAAAGGTATATATATTCGTAATAATAAAATCAGTTCTTTGTGTGTGAATATTTTTTCTTTTTTTTTTTTTTTTTTTTATTATTTCACAGCATTTGATATTATAAATCTTTTTTTTTTTTTTTTTTTTTTTTTTTTCATTTTTAATTCCCAAGTTTATCTATGCTAAGTTGATCACGAATTTGATTGAATTAGAACAGTTAAAATAGTTTATATTTTGTCTGTCTATTTCTCTCTCTCTCTTTTTTTTCTTTTTTTTAAATCCCCTTTCTTTTCATACGCAAAGATCCGTGAAATTGATCAAAGAGAATGAAAATGACGTTTTATCGAAACATACCAACTGTACGGAGTAAAACCCACCTACACGACAGGAAGTTTAAGAAGCATGTGTTGCCGGTATTTCCGGTGCGACATCCTCCTCCCTGTGTGTCCCCTCCTCTCTGTGTTCTCTCCTCTCCCCTCCTCTTGTTTTTCCTCGCTAAAACTCCCTCTCTTCTTTTTTTTTTTTCTCCTCGACTCTTTCTCCTTTCTTCTCTGTCATTTTTTGCACAACAAGCAACATTCACTGGCAGCAGCAA